CATTTATATCATTGAATTTTCTGTCCCTTTTGACACGAATATGAGTGACAAGATTCGGGAAAAACGTGTGGACCTCGCTTTCGAAATGTCATGCTTGCAAGTACCGAGACTCCCCATTGTTCTCGGTGCCATAGGTTTGGTACCTCCCAATCTGTTGACTGACATTGGCAGAGTACCCGGGTTTGCTACCAGGAATACAGCCCTTCTGACAATCTGGGTAATGCAGAAGGCTGCAGTGTTTGGGAGCCTTCACATTCTCCCAAAGGTTCTGGGTGGGTTCGACTAGGCAGCGCATCCTGGGAGAAGTCCCATTAGCTGACTGCTGGGCTGCGTGTAGAGGGGGCAAGGCCCCAAAGGTGATGATGAGCCTAACCAGCCTGACTGTGCCAGGATCAGCCAAACCCTCTCTGCAGCATTTGTATTTTAATCTGTGTATAATAATAATAATAATAATAATAATAATAATAATAATAATAATAATAATAATACCATCTACGGCTGGGTGCATATTTCGAACAAAGTCCATTGCCAAAGGAGACACTGCATGTACTTCTGTGTGGGGTAGCACCTGAAGACCTAGAAACTCTCAGGAGTCCAGCTGCCCAGCGCGATAACTTCACTACATGCCATCACATCACTTTGTATTTTATTCCCATAGTCTAGCTGACACGCCGCCACTAATCATAGCGGCATTAAACCCAACACACTCACTCAGTCACATATTTAGCGTCCAGGGATGGAGAAATACATTCAGTGGCACCTCGTCTGACCACACCTTCATCCGGTACCAAAAGCATAACCGCAAGACTGATTCTAATTGCGTAATACGTATAAGTCGTCTGATAGTTGTTCTAGCACAGTAACATGCAATACTGGTAGCATGTGATTGCAAGTGATAATATTGGTTTCTTTAGAACACCGGTCCAGACAAACACATGTTAGCGGCTGGCCATGAATATTTTTACGAGAAATAATAGCTTATTTGGTATGCTACAGTGTGAACCGGATAAAAGATCTAACATTTTCTGTTTCATACTAGTGTACGTACGCAGGCAATAGATATCTGAGTAAAGACAAGGCTCAACTTCAAATACCAGGTCATTTTATCATTTTGTAACATGTTACCTCACAAGTGGAATGCATATTTATGACCACAATCCGCCGAGGCCGTGATCAAAGTAGCACATTGAATCGACACACTGCCACGTAATCCAAATCAATTTTTGTCTTATTGCGAAGAATTTAGGCGCATAAAGCATCAAGCAGATAGTGTAAATAACTCCCCCTTGTGGATTATAGACAATATCCACAGCATTGTTGTGTACTCAAGTGACCATTGACGATATGCATGAGTTCAGGTGAGCTATTATTCCGAGCCATTCGGTCTCATACGTCTTTCTCAGTCTAAAGCAATCTGTGCTAATTACCATGATTCCCAGCAGGCTTTGCGAGCTAACTGCTCAATAGAGGGCGCATTAGTGTCTGCGCTATTATTACTGCTGAGCATTAATGTCAGAACGGATTATATTGGGGGCCGGTTGTGGGGCATGCAACTCATATTCTTCAAATAGGTCCATTTTGGGCTACCATTTAGAATTTCAATTTAGCCTGTCGTGTTGAGTTAATGCTCTTTAATGTTACGAATGTGGTTAAAGTATCTCCATATTGAAATAATATGCTTTAATATTGTAACACATTCAATTGCACCACAAGTGAACGTTCTTTATGGATGTGAGCAATTTAGATTGCACTTCCTTTAAAACGGGTTATAATATTTGAAGTAGCTATCTCAACATTAATTATGGGAAAATTCGAGCAAATTCGAGTCCAAATGATATCAGAAACGATTCGCATTGGTTAGAGCCTTGTCTGAAGAAACGAATTTACCGAATCCATTCAATATTGAATGCTGTGAAATGTATTTATGAAACTTACGCAAGGTGTGAACCTACACAACGAAATCGTACATCGTTTATCATAGGTGAAACAACTGAATTCATTTCAAAGGGTTGAACAACATCCGGTCGCTCATACGCCCGTCGGTTTTCCGGGTAAGAATTGGTTCCTAGTCGTAAGATGCGAGTTAGAGGATCGGGTGATCTGGCTTGGTGACTTGGTTAATTGTGTGTCATCCCACCCAGATGGTGTGGGAATCTGCTCATGGTATCAATCACTGATTTATCTTTTCCGGATATGGTTATAAGATGCATCCATCATATGGCTTGAGTAATGCTGATTTCGCAGTTAATTAACAAATGTAGTCATTCAACTGACACATTACTGTTATCAATTATCTGAAATTAGTGTTGAGATAACCTGTTAAACCTGTAAAACACCAATAGTAGACCTGTTTCAGGTGCTAGCCTTTTAGTATTTTTTCACATAATTTTTTATTTACTAGTAACTGTATCATTCTTATATTAAACAAGACATTTTTTGTGAGTAACAACTATCTCTCCGAGTCTTTGAAATCTATTCTTAAACAACACAGGAACTCTCAGAAGTTAAAATACACAACAGTCGATTTATTTCCATTAGAATCAGTGACACGATGTCATATCATGAGACGTCCATAATGATATATGACATCTGTATACAAAGGAATTAATTATTATTATATATTAGCTCTTACTTTGCTCAGATAATGGACACGTGTGATAGAATTAGGATGGTTTTTCCTTCTAATGGTTATAGCATAAAATACCTTAAGTGACCGTTGTAACAAGATGCATTTCAAATATAAAACATTAATGTAATTCCGGTACAGAGGGATGCAAACAAAGTTATGGCTTGTTGAGACACGAACCGGAAATGCCGAATGGGAAAGCGATAGAATTATGTGACGGAAACACCCGACACTCTCTGTTCGTGAAACGTCGTAATTACACTCGACATGCGTTGCATGCACATCCTGCTCCGAGTAAAGGCTAAAAGCGCAGACATTGTGAGTCTATTTACAGGACGTGATTCCAATTAAGATTGATCCTGAATCTTAATGCAGTCTGCCAGTGATAGAAGCTCGCGATGTCTGGTGATTAATGTCCCCAAATGTTGAGTTCTAGGCAAACATTCCACATCTATAACTACTTTGTCACACAAATGCTGGATCTATGGTTGAAGGATCAACACAGGAATTAAACGTCAGTCAGGATGGACAGTCCATGTGCTCAATGTATTCCTTGGCTGACCACATGACATTCCTTAGGACATGGATGTCCTATTGAAATATGGCTGATACAGCACTTATTCTGACAATACTGACAAGTAATCGTTTCATGCATGACTAATACTTACGAAACTCATACTCAGCTTAGGAATAACGCGGGGGCGCAGGCTGTTCTACCCCTTCTTTCCGTATCCATTTTGGTATGGTAAGACGATTGATGGTTAAAACATGTCTTAATTCAGTACAAGAGGCAATGATAATCCACAGAGAATATAGGCTCTCTCTCTTCCATGTATTATCAGATTGATTAATACGCCGAAAGTTTCACAAAGGACGTTATTCCTTGTTGAATGCTATTATTGCCATGGACGTCAGAAGTATTTTCTATTTGTCACACGGATTACATCTGTCAAAGATTATGATCAAGACAGTATTTGCATTTCATTTCCCTTTTCTAAAATTAGAAGTTTAATTTTCATCCAGAAGGTTATTAATCTCCATTGCTATTTACGCATGGATTTCAACTGTGTCTACAAATCTTTGACATAAAGGATAAATCAATTCAAGATTAGGAAACGTATTCCAGTTTTGACAAAATCAGTGTAACTATATTTAAGTTAAGACGTATGAATATGCTTTAATGGTATTTGCATTTTTATATACATTGTTATAGTTTTCCCGTTATGCTTGTTTGACAACTGATTACTAAGACAACGTTTTATACTCTTTTTTATTGCTTTTGAAATATGTCCAATGTTCATTTTGTTTTATAAGAGGTAATGTGAACATTTTGAGTTAAATACAAGTTAAATCTTAAAACAATTTAACTATTTAGCAAAATGTTAAGAGAATGCATAAAGGGATGAATGCAATACCTGTACATTGATGTTATCATCATTCACGATGTTGTCACGAACTTATTGATATTTTATTTTCGATATCACTTATTGTGTTGCATTTTATGGATAACTCGTTTATATAAATAAACAAATATTTTGTTTATCGAGACTGATTATTCTCTGGCGTTCGTGTCTCTTATTCTACCATATTTTCTTTAACATTGTCATATCTTTCAGCACAATGTCTCCATTGAATCCTGTGCGTCAATGTCTTGTAAAATCACAGCGTTATTTATTTAATCATTTGCTTGGGCATATTACTTGTGAGTTTTCACATTAATACTGATGGAACGCAGTCTACTGTGTCGATGTCTCACATGGCCATGAATACAACCATGACAACACAGTCGTAACGTAAATCTTCGTATGAAAAGATTCTCGTTAGACTCAACACAAAATCATATCCAAAGACTGCAGTCAAAATGTACCTGGACACCCTTTTATTACGAATTCAATTACCCCAACGTGTAATTATCGAACGTGTATTACCTTTGTAGCAGATGAAAGATGGTTATTAAAACTCCAGGCAAAATGATTGCACAGTAGCTCCTAATTAGTAAGCAATGCGTTACGGATCATACACGTTCATTTGCATATCATATTGTTGCAGATTGTAGTTGCATTAATCAAGTTGTGATTATGGGCGGTACACGTGTACGCCTTCAAAAGTTAAGGGTCAGTCAGTAAATCTGGTACACGTGTCAAAACCACAAGAAAGAACATATAAGTACAGCAACAACTAACACAATCACATAGGAACGAGTTGTTCTTTTCGCTAACGTATTCAGGGTGCCTGACAGTATATTTTACAATACATAGTTTACACTTCATCTGAACTATGGTATACTTCATTGTGGTCAATACTGTCAAACTATAGTGTTCATATGCAAACAGTTGATTGACAGTGGTACTAATGTGTGTTTGATCTTTTTCAGCACCACAACCATGGACAGCAGTCAGATCCTTTCTATCCTTATGCTGGTTTTCGCTATGGTGCTCACGGGAGTAGCTCTTGGAGCCAAAGAGGAACAAGGTACAAAACCCATGGCTTTTAGCCGTTTACCTTTAGTACATAAGGCGCATTTGACATAAGAAATTGCTTTGATATATCTATCTCACAATTAAATTAAACAACGTTTAGCTTTTCAAAAATAATCGTCATGAACATATTTCCAATTACCATGATATCTTTTCTTGTAAGATGTTATTTTAAATGCTAACGAAAATTATTTTCATAATGTATCTATCTTAAATTAATTATGACTGGATGCAAAATAGATCTTTATGCAAGTGCGTCTTATTTTTCAATCCCCCGTGTTAACCCGTTTCACCCATATTAATATTTAGTTGGCTACACATTTATATTGAACATAAATATGTCACAGAAGGGCTTAAAGCTTTGTTTTTGATGATTTAAGTGTACTAAACTTCAAAGGAATAAAAACACATTTTGACCTGCAATGTAATCACATAATATTCATACACAGATTATGAGATGAATATTATATATGACATATATGACATTTGGATTAAATATAAGACCTACTTGGTCTGTTGTTTAATCACTATTTGCAATCAATTAAGCTAACTAATATACATTGACGACATTTCATGTTCAGTGGAAATGTGGTTGTCGCCAAAGTTATCCCTAGCAGCTTCCCAGCACGTAATTTCGTATTTTAATACCCCGTGTTAGTTTAGTTTGATTGATTCTAAATTTGTCTTTGAATGTTTTATTGTTTACTAATAAGTTTTAATCTTATTTAAAGTAAAATGATTCTTCATTTTTATGTTTTGTAACCCATTGATCAGTTCTCTCCCCTGGTTCCCAAACATAAACTTCAATTTCAATTTTTTCCTTTTCAATTTATTCCTCTTATGTTGGTAACACGAATACCCCTTTATCATTGCATATACGTGCTGATAAGATTTACCGTTCTCTTATGTTTAAAAGAAGTCATATGTTTGCCTCGCTAAAGGTAGACATTGCGATTGCTTGTAAGCAATTGTAACTTGAACCACAAAGAAGCCACAGACAAGCTACCTTGGGAGTACAAATCATTTGGTCCAGTGTAAACGTAATTTAGTCTCTTTCTGCTTAGCTTCCTGAATTCAGATTCCCTTGCCTCTGACTAAACCACTCTTCTGTAAAATTTCGTTTAGGCAGTAGTAGACTGGTAATTCCTTTAAAAGAACCTCCACATTTTAATTGACTCACTTGGTCATTTCACTCACAGGATATAACATCAATGTTTTTGCAACAAGGTAATAGATTTTTTTACACTATTAACTTTTTCCTTGGATGTATTGATTGAATCTTTACGAACCTAATGAGAAAATGTAGAATGATCTTGTGGCCTGGGTTTAGCCTAAAAACATCTCGTCCGCTCCTAAAAACATTATAAGGTTCATTCGTCATACCTGCATTTCAGATCAGAATCTAATCAAGTTTGAAATTAATAAATTTATTTCTGATGTTTTAGTTTAATGCGTTAATGGAGCGGGGAAGTAGACCAGTGTTTTATGTTTTCGTTCGTTTGATTTCCCGCGAGTAGAAACTTTGTGATGTCAGTGTAACCAGTCGTTATGTGTCACCAAAATTTCCCACGAAACCAACTTTCAAATATCTTGAAGACTGAGTTCTTCTCCGTGTCATTATCATGTACTGTAAGTTAAACACATCATGGCTCTAGACACTGGTTGAGCAGGACATGCTTAGCCTTTGGCGAGCACCTGGTGTCATCACTTATTTTCGATGATCTATTCAAACAGGTTTCACCGCTGTTTTGACTTTCACACGTTTTATGCTCTAAGACTTTTCACGTTTTATACTCTAAGTTAGAGAAACATAACCGTAACTCGGAATTATAGATTATTTGTCCCGATTGAATTCATTGTATAAGTGTTGAACTTTCAACATTATTTCACCAGGGCCAGATAATCAGTAACTTCGAGTTGCGGTGAGGTTATTTCTGATTTTGCCCAGTCTTTTTTGTGTGCGAAAATGTAGAAAGAATGTGGGTTTCCTTATCTGAAACGTTTCTGACGTAATGAACAATAGATGACTTTATCTTTAATTTTTTTAGCGACTGTCCGTTTATAAGACGTCATGTTGCTGAAGCTCCGTTCGCTAATAAAAAACAACAACAATGAGACAAACTAGCAAATCAACATCAAGTCAAAACTCTAGTGTTCTGTGAGAATTACATAAATACTAGTATGTACATGAATATGGCAGTATGAGAACCAGACTACGTGCAGGCGATCGTGTCCCATCTATTTTCACTGTTTTGCACAGCATCGCCCGTAAATGATTAATGGTAAACTGGTGTAAAACGATGTACACATCAGTAAACAACGTTCCGTGATGTCTTCTGATGCTGGTCAATCTTTGTGACTTCAAGCAATAGAAGAGAGTCCCTGTCTTGTCCGGCCAACAATAAAAAAAGAATTTGAAATAAATTTCTTACGGACTAAATCGTTAATATTTCCCCTTCTTTGGTTAGAATACTCATGGTGTGTCTCCCCACACATTTATCTGGAAAGTGGGTCTCGTTTTCGGTTATTTATGAAAGGTCACGTCTCCTTGCGGTCATTAATTCAAAATGGCGTCTTTTAATCTTGCCCTTCAAGAGATATTTCCATGGACAAGCATACGCCCGTTTTTCTATAAGGGTTTTAAAATGAATAGCGCCTGATAAAAAAATGTTTATGCATGGAAACACCTGCATTACAGTTTCACAACAAAAATCATAAGGTACACGTCCATCTTTAATTCCCTTTCCTCATTTCAGGATAAATCGTTTACAAGCATCTGACAACTCATGCGATTTTAACACTGCAGACCGTTATAACAAAGAACCATCAAACTATCATGATATTTTGAACAACAAAGTAAATACTGGTCGGTGTGATTGTTTTTCCTTGTGTTGACACAGTCATTTCCAAGAAATGAAAACACTAGAAGCTCAGACATTCCCTAGTTTTAATTTCACATTGGTCCCCCCATCACTACGAATAAGACATTTAGAAGCATTGCTACAGTTGACATACCACCTGCTGTGGATACTCGAACCACACAACCAATTGCTTTTACCCTCCTACACTCCTATTTGTTAATCGAAACTGATTTTTCACTCAATATGCCTCCTATTGTGTAAATGTGGACCATTAAGCCTGCAATTAGGCATGGACTTTCCATCGCACCGAAATTTCTTTTCAACCAAGACGCGTACGCTGTACTCTCTGATGGTGAAACGTTTCAACCTGAATATCCATCATCCCCAGCTGCTAAAAGTTGAAGGGGTAGACATAATCAACAGGGAGAAGTAGGGGAGAGAACTCAAACCAAGTGGTTATTTGCTGAGCATTCCGAACCAGCCATACTCCATGCAATCCATGAGCCTACTCCAAAATCTGATCCTTCTTCGGATGCATACCGAAACTTAAAATGTGACGTTGTTGGTTAAATTTCTGATATAATCAGGATTATAAGTTCAATAATGCATAAAAAATACATATATCATCAGTGAACATGTAACGTCATATTATTCCAAAACCGTTATAGTATATTCCCGTTTTCTTTTAAGATTCAAGGACCATGCGATTGCTGGTGTCATGACATTATAAATCAGACTAGCTTTAATCCCACACAGGTGCATTATAAACGTCTTTCCAGAGAACAGAATAAAGACTAAAGCTGGCATAAGTTCACTTTACACTAAGATATCACTTGGAATTAAGCCCAAACTATACACAAGGAGAGTCCACGATGAACTTTACCGGACGTCACATGGGCGAGATTCACGCCTACATAAACGTGCACATCCGGGAGCATTCGCACCCAAAGATGGACGCACCGAAGTCTGTCAGCCATTAGATTCGGAAACGGATTACGAATACTCTCGAGATCTGGCTACTGCAAAAACACCTGTGGTGAAAATGGGCGGTGGGATTCTCATCAGAGTAATTGCAGGAACTATCTTTGTATGTTTGACAAACGACAACCCTAACACGGTAACATTTTCAACGCAAAGTGAAGATGGCGGAAACGGGCTACCGTACGTGCCATCACGATTAGACCTTTGGGCTCAAGCTCCATCTGGTCGCACTGGAAGACAATCTCCAATGCTTACAAAACTTGGCAGGGATATCAATGGAGGAAACTGAAGACCAGGCGCTGTGCAGAATTTGTAAATGTAAAGACCATTACCAATGAACGATTACGGACTTTCTCTTGAAAAGCCTGTTATTGGCTTGAACCATCGAACTATACTGTGTGTGCCTATGTTATAATGGTTTCCCGTGTAATGGAACCACTGTGAATTGCAGAAAGGCATTCATTTGTATTTGCTTTAAATACGTGATAATTTCTGTCGTGATACAAAAACAGCGAATTGAACATCGATGTATATAATAAGCCTGTCATATCAAGACACCTATTCTTATAGAACTTATTATCAAGTTATACAATTGAACTAGATGTTTTCCCATTTCTGAATGTTGTTATTTCACTGAAAGTAATGTTTGAGAGGTCGCTTATTTCGTAAAGAAACAAGACATGAAATTCTTATGAAAACACATTGTTATAGATGATACAGGGTAGTGTTACATTTATATTGTTATGTTGATATATATATATATATATATATATCATCCTTTGTCTGAATATAAGGTACAAAACACCACACTGTTTAGGGATTAAATGATACTTGCAATTGAATAAAAATAAGCAGATTTAAGCAAAATTGATGTTGTTTTGTAAAATTGGGAGGGAAACGTGCATATTGAATGATGATATAGTTTACATAACACATAGTTTACACTCTCATAACCACATGTGTTAAGGCCGAACGATATGAATACGTGTCATATTTACACTCATCAGATATCAGGATCTTATACTACGGTTTCTTTATGTTTAAGAGTCACATACAGTTTCATATTTTAAAGAAAACTGTAAAACGCTATATTTAATGTAATGGTTGCACAAGACATTTCCTTTGCTTCAAAATGAACATTCCAATTTCACGTTTGTATCGTGATGAAGGTAAGTAACGTTCGTGAGTCTTCCATTATGTATTCTGAGTGACTGTATACCCTTTACCTCCTCTCCTCCACGTAGATCGTCTAGTGTTGTACTGCCCTGTATGTGGCGTGATGCATTGCCTACGTGTTACAACTGTGTATCAGTTCTTTCCTTTCAGAAACTGCAACTATATTCTTCTCATTCCGGTTGTCATAACTCAAGCATTAGTTTTTAAAGGATATGTTATATATTTTATGTTATAAATATGAAGCATTAATTTCCAAAGTATATATATGATATCTTACATAGTCTACATTTAATAAGAAACACGATCATATTATAATCCTGAATCCTCTGTTCAGGTATTGTTTTTATAGTGTATGGTTCCAAAGAAACGTTCATTCAATGATTACAATCCTTTCTTTGTCCTCCTCGTTATGATTGTCATAACATGAAACTTATTTCATAAAGTATTATTTTTCTCATATATGTATCTTGTCTATATTTAATTAAATTCATATAAATATTAAAGTGTTGATCTATTTTGCTTAACTATTATTATATAGGGAGTTATTTTCTGTGTTGTCATATACTCAAAAATGTTGGAAGCACTCCGTGTTGATTCCGGGTTAGAATTGGTCCACAGCAACCTATGCTGGTCGTAATATTACTAAGTGCGACGTTAAACAAACAGATGTAAGCTGCATGATGAAATTATGACACTGATGAGGATTACAATTGATTAATTTAATCCTTGCAGATTCGGAAGCAGCTGTAGTAGCTCCAAGTGAACATCATAAACGATCGGTGGACTTTCCACTGTCACAAGATCTCCTTGACGACGATGCTTATGACATGGACAAACGTGGCAGCCTCTTCCGGTTTGGCAAGCGCGGCGGTCTCTTCCGGTTCGGCAAGCGCGGTACCCTCTTCCGGTTTGGAAAGCGTGGCAGCACTCTGTTCAGATTTGGGCGCAGCGGAAATGATGACCTGTGGGTGCCAGTCAACGAGGACGGACAAGATACTAAAAGAAACTTCCACTGGGGCAGGGAGACAGAGGAGTGATTAAACATTGATGATGTGCTGGTTGGGCAATATGGACTGTATTATAGAATTAATAACTGCTACTGGAAGCTAGTTACCTGAAAGCAATCTACTGACGCAATGATGTTGAGGACTTGGAAGAAAATAACATTCTTAAGAAGAATATATCATACGCTTTCATAGGTGACCTTATACTACAATATGAACAATATACAAAACGTTTGTGCTCTCCAATACTTGATCCTTGTTAAATTGAGACTGTTTATAACACATGCCTTGTTATCGGTGTGCTGTTGACCAGAATTGGATCCAGGGATAGGGCTAAGTTGGGATATCTTTGCTATTTGAATGCAGTAAAATATCAGCAATATTTCATTAGTAATAACAAGCAGGGAAGAATAGAAATGAATCAGGTTTCATCTCTGTGCTAATGCCCTACAATGTATACTTCAAAGCAATTTTCTCCCCTAGACTCTGTAATATATGATGACTGTGACTGCCAGGAATAAAGCGGTGTTACTTTTGACGAAGTTTGTTTTAGTTATCTGCTCTTCTGTACACATCATTATATACTGCCGGGGAAAAGAAAGTATACACATATGTTAGATGGTGACTAAAAATGAAACAAAAAAGAAATGGTTATTTCATGGTGATGATTTGATAAGGGTATTATAGTTGTTCGGGGCCTTAAGTTTGCAATGTTTCCAGCCTTGTAACGTTTTGGCAACGTTGGTAAGTTTTTGGTTAGATCCAATTTTGCATGTATACTTTCTTTTTACCGGCAATTTAGTTGTTGTAATCTATTGCAATCCTGGCTTGCTTTCACAAATCAGAAACTTTAGGAACACGGTGAGATTTTGGTCATGAAGCATACATATTTGTAGTCTAAAACCATTATCAATCCTTGCTGTCACAACTTGCTGAGATCACAAAACACCAAATGACATATAAAACATATAAAACGCCAATGCCAGAGGACAGACTGAAGTATCCGCCACAACAAACTAAGGTATCCATCGGTAGTCGTGATTATGACTATTTTAACGAATTAAGGGAACTGATTAAAGTCTGGCCATAGTGTAAAATCACTAAAGCGGGATGACCATTTTATGACACTGCGAAATAAGCAGATATCCTAAATCTTTCTTTAAAGTCTACCTTGTTAATGCCACGCCATATGAAAGAAACTATATTCATCAGGAAAATGTGGCACAATAATGCTGTAATCGGTCCAACGCCTTCTATGAATTAATGGAAGAAAGATTTGCAAAAAGAGACATTTACTTTTTAGATTCCCCAAGTCGCGTGTTATTTCTTCAGTCGACAAATAGTGATCGCTTCATCAAGGGCCTTTGTAACTGATGTGTCTCTAAGACATTTAGTTTATGGGAAATTAACTGGACTCTGTCATGTTGATTGAAACGCTTACAATTTTCACCGGATCTTCGTTCAAACAACTCTAAGCAATCCGATTTTCCTTTCAAGTGATATCTTTAAATCTCTTGTTACGTGCATTGTATCAGAAACAGGACGGTGGGAGTGAGTGCATACGGTGGCGCATTTATTGCATATTGAAACCCACACTCGATTACCTTATTTGGGATTTCGTAACTGCTTATATTCATTGTCCTCATTGTCACTATTGATTAGCCATCAACATTTAAATGCACCGACGCTTCACAGAAATCTTCTTGGCAAACTCCAGAGAAGCCGGTCCTATATACACTGTGCGGACTGATATGAGCCTAACACCAGACAGTTTTCATATTACAGAGACATAAAACAAATACAATATCAGTATATGTTTCAAGAAAAAAAGGATTTTTTATCATTCATCCATCACCATAAACTTTTAAAAAATGCACTTTGACACAAGTCGTGAGTGGCGGGCGCTACTGGTAGGGTAGGACATGTCTACCCTATTCGCGAACACCTGGCATCATTCCCGATTTTCAATATCCATTTATATAGTTTTCATCACAATATGGCCCCCTTAAGCCCAATGTAATCCGTTTCGGCAGATAATCGAGACTGATTTTCTCTGACGTTGACGTTTTATATTAAGTAAGTGTTGAAAAATTTCTCTCAAGATGCTGCTTAATCCAGAATTGCGGCTGCTTACCGAATATCGCTGAATATTGCGTGAAGAGGGGCCATGATAAGATCTGGCATCACGTAACCCGTCAGATATGTTTCTGAAGAACTCTAATATGACAGTCAGTTAAAAAGTGAATTTGAAAGGCGGCGTTGTATGGTATCCGATCAGTTGATAACTGCTTTAAGCACGTCAGCGTGATGGATAAACCAACAGTACATTTTTGCCCAACAGACAAAAAGCATTGCATCAGCTTGAGACATTTCAACATTTCTAACCGGAAGACTCGAGGGCGGAAATTCATCGATTTTTGACAGAAGTCATACCCAAAGAGTTAAATCTCTGCCTCTTTTTCAAAGTGGCTGAGATGTATGTATTTCCTTTTCGAAATGAGATCGCATCCAAACTCAGGGCAGTCTGGGACTATCCCTTTGATCAAATGGCGTGTGTACGTAGGAAAGTGAGACCTCGCACAGGCCCATTGTATGTAGTTTTGTGTCACTGGAAGGTTAATTGCCTACTGATCGTTAAATGACATTCACGCGACGTACAAACCACGATGTGAGATAACCACCATCTCAAGCGCATCGGTTCAGTCATCTATTTGTTAATGACCGCTCAGTCTCGTCTTCAAACATGCCATACATACAGAGAGTGGGGAAATGCTTTACATATCCTTGTCACAGGGAATATCGAAACAGTGGCAGCGCAGCGAGTATGGTTGTACGCCGCTTTTAGCAATATTCCAGCAATATCACGGCGGGGGCACCAGAAATGGGCTTCACACATTGCACCCATGTCGGGAATCGAACCCGGGTCTTCGGCGTGACGAGCGAACGCTTAAACCTCTAGGCTACCCGACCGCCCCTAATATCGAAACATATGTCATTCAGAGCATCTAATATTGTATAACACCCACAGGAGCATGTCCCTTATTTCTTGAGAACTGTACTAGGTAAAACGTATTTGCTACAGCAGGGTGTTCATAGGTATATCTGATCAATAGAATGTAAGCTTCTACTGTAGAAACTACAGTTATTGCTGGAGATTTGTTTAGGTATTTTTTAAAATTCAGTGGCCGTACCAGGTTTTCCCATACTGTATGATACACGTTCTAGGGCTAATGTCCCAGTTTGTCACAGTCCTCTGAGTCGGCGTCAATTGTTGGGAAGGGTGTATCCTTAAGACGTACGAGGATCCGGTGATCGTGGATTCGAATCCCAGATTCGCCCTGATTATGCTCCTTGGTTTATAGTTTACGTGGGATTCACCAAGTTGTAAACGTCCAACGCCTACGTCCTTTCCCTCCTACATTTAACTAACATACCGTGATAATAATAAATAATAATGATGATGATGATGATGATGATGATGATGATGATGGTAATAATAATAAATGACTACTGATCAAGATGGCGTTTAACAAAACCAATCCCCTCACTCACTTGTACCTATATTTGCATCATTGAAGATTACGTGACTGGCAGTGTGCTAGCTTTGAAATAGTCAGCAAAATTCCAGAAGTATCCCTGCTGCCCATAAATAATTGCTTCAGTGTGTGGCAGGCTGACGTCATATAGCATGTGCAGCAGGTCGTCGGGGTACTCGGACGCTGACACTCTGGAATCCCCACATTTGACCTTCCTGGGCAATCCGTTAGCTGGATTTCGAGCTGTTCACAACATATGACAATCATAACCGCAAAATGCAGACCGACCCAAAAAATCTTTTATTACAAGAAAAACATGTATCAGAAAACGAGATTTAATTCCAAGTTTAATTACACTGCAGCTGATATAAAATATATATCCCTATTTCAGGCTAGATGTAATAAATGTCAGCTGTGTGACAGACATTTTCTATGGTTCATTCAGGCTCTCATATATTGCTCTAGTGATATACAACTCGGGGATGGGGTTAGATATTAACCAAGTACTCTATCAACGACTTGAATCAAACTTATTGGGACTGCAGATTTATCCCAATTTAATGTTTCGCTAAATGTACATTTATTAGAAGTTGAAAACTGAACAATTTTGTTCCTGATATCGCGAAGATGACACCACCGCCGTTCTTTTGACTGACCTGCCCATGACACGGAGCTGAATAATTTAGAATATGCCACCACAAAAAGTGCAGCACACGCTATCAGTTCACACAAAAAGCTCACATACTCCTCACAATAACTGATCGCTCAGATTGAACCAAGAGATTATATCTCAATCAACACTACAACTATAATTAAGACAACGTTTCCCCCTGAATTAAGAATATGTTTACCAGACCCACTGTGACTTATTTGGAAACTATTTGACAGAGGTATGGGTTCTTTAAATATTTGGAGATATTTCAAATTAAGCATTATAATCCCTTGCATGCCAAAACAACATTTTTTTACTGTAAATATAACAAAACACGAATTGCCATATCACAAAATGACCCTCTCCCTATCCTGAAAAAAATATTTTCTTGTTTGCATGTCAGGAAATTTGCTTCATATCTGAATAGGGCGGTCGGATAGCCTAGTGGTTAAAGCGTTCGCTCGTCACGCCGAAGACCCGGGTTCGATTCCCGACATGGGTACAATGTGTGAAGCCCATTTCTGGTGTCCCCCGCCATGATATTGCTGGAATATTGCTAAAAGCGGCGTAAAACCATACTCACTCACTCACTCATATCTGAATAAAAGCTACACAACTCGCAGAATCAGTTGTACAAGTCGGACTATGTGTTGAGCTTGTGTCTATGAATCACTACCAAACAGGGATTATACCAGGTGTTCGCGAAAAGGGGAGCGTAATACTGTCCTGCCCCACCGGTGGCACCCGTCACAAACACATGCAAAGGGAAGTCAGTTGTTTACCTGAGGTAACACTCGAACATTTGGCAGAAGACATATCATATGGGTACCCGGAAGTATGTGATGTTCATAGCGTCTAAAGGGCAGTCAAATGCCACTCAAATGAAGTCAAGCAGGCAGTTTAGGTTGCATACGCCACGTTCGTAGTTATACTGTCGATGTCCGTTGACAGAGGCAAGATCAGGAGCTTTTGAAACAACATCTGTGGTTCGAAGTCTTGCTTCTCCTATACAGTTGTCGATTTTTTTATTATCCTTATAGAAGTAGTAGTAGAAGTATAATTATTCCTAGTCGTAGTAGTAGTAGTAGTAGTAGTAGTAGTAGTAGTAGTAGTAGTAGTAGTAGTAGTAGTAGTAGTAGAAGAGTGAGTGAGTGAGTTGGAAGAAGAAGAAGAAGTAGTAAAATGTAGTCTTATTCTAGTAGTAGTAGTAGTAGTAGTAGTAGTAGTAACAGTAGTAGTAGTAGTAGTAGTAGTAACAATTACGGGATAGGATTATTTACGGGCTGCCATGAAACACCTCCCGTCCCGTCCCGTCCCGTCCTGTCCTACATGAAACCCAGTCGGCGAATA